CGGATGGGGGATTCTCATCAATTTCCCTGGTGGAGGTCACTGAGGTAGTCAAACAACTACACAGTGGCAAAGCCCCAGGGATTGATGAGATCCGCCCAGAAATGCTAAAAGTTTTGGATGTGGAGGGGCTGTCTTGGATGACACGTCTCTTTAACATTGCGTGGAATAAGTCGGGTACAGTGCCCAAGGAGTGGCAGACTGGGGTGGTGGTTCCCCTGTTCAAAAAGGGGGACCAGAGAGTGTGTGCCAATTACAGGTGTATCACACTTCTCAGCCTCCCTGGTAAAGTCTACTCCAAGGTGCTGGAAAGGAGGGTTCGGCCGATAGTCGAACCTCGGATTGAAGAGGAACAATGCGGTTTTCGTCCCGGCCGTGGAACAACGGACCAGCTCTTTACTCTCACAAGGATCCTGGAGTGGGCTTGGGAGTATGCCCATCCAGTCTACATGTGTTTTGTGGATCTGGAGAAGGCATACGACCGGGTCCCCCGGGAGATACTGTGGGATGTGCTGCGGGAGTATGGGGTGAGGGGGCCCCTTCTCAGGGCTATCCAATCCCTGTACATCCAAAGCGAGAGCTGTGTCCGAGTACTCGGCAGTAAGTCGGACTCTTTCCAGGTGAGGGTTGGCCTTCGCCAGGGCTGCGCTTTGTCACCAATCCTGTTTGTGATATTCATGGACAGGATATCGAGGCGTAGTCGTGGTGGGGTGGGGTTGCGGTTCGGTGGGCTTGGGATCTCGTCACTGCTTTTGCGGATGATGTGGTCCTGATGGCATCATCGGTCCGTGACCTTCAGCTCTCACTGGATCGGTTCGCAGCAGAGTGCGAAGCGGTTGGGATGAGGATCAGCACCTCTAAATCTGAGGCCATGGTTCTCAGCAGGAAACCGGTGGAATGCCAACTCCAGGTAGGGAATGAGCTCTTACCCCAAGTGAAGGAGTTTAAGTACCTCGGGGTCTTGTTCACGAGTGAGGGGAGATTGGAGCAGGAGATTGGCCGGAGAATCGGAGCAGCGGGGGCGGTATTGCACTCGCTTTACCGCACCGTTGTGACGAAAAGAGAGATGAGCCGTAAGGCAAAGCTCTCGATCTACTGGTCAATTTTTGTTCCTACCCTCACCTATGGTCATGAAGGCTGGGTCATGACCGGTGATGGCGCAGTGGATAAGACACATGCCTTTGGTGTGAGAGACCCGGGTTCGAATCCACTGTGAGACACCAATGTGTCCCTGAGCAAGACACTTAACCCCTAGTTGCTCCAGAGGCGTGCGACCTCTGACATATATAGCAATTGTAAGTCGCTTTGGATAAAAGGATCAGCTAAATGAATAAATGTAAATGTAAAATGTAAATGACCGAAAGAACGAGATCGCGGGTACAAGCGGCCGAAATGGGTTTCCTCAGGCGGGTGGCTGGTGTCTCCCTTAGAGATAGGGTGAGAAGCTCAGCCATCCGCGAGGAGCTCAGAGTAGAGCCACTGCTCCTTTGTGTCGAAAGGAGCCAGTTGAGGTGGTTTGGGCATCTGGTAAGGATGCCTCCTGGACGCCTCCCTAGGGAGGTGTTTCAGGCACGTCCAGCTAGGAGGAGACCTCGGGGAAGACCCAGGACTAGGTGGAGAGATTATATCTCCACACTGGCCTGGGAATGCCTCGGGATCCCCCAGTCAGAGCTGGTTAATGTGGCTCGGGAAAGAGAAGTTTGGGGTCCCATGCTGGAACTGCTGCCACCGCGACCCGACCCCGGATAAGCGGATGAAGATGGATGGATGACATATACATGGCTTATAATATATATACACACACATATACATGCCTTATAATATATATATACACACATATACATAGCTTATAATATATATATACATACATATACATGGCTTATAATATATATATATATATATATATATAATTGTTTTCAAAGTTTATTGTAAAATATGCATATACATATACATATTTAAGTATTTTTAAAAAAAACTATATATATACACACATATACATGGCTTATAATATATATATACACACATATACATGGCTTATAATATATATATACATACATATACAAGGCTTATAGTATATATTGAAGAGTTCAGATGCAAAAGCCTCTAAGTGCCATCTGAAATTTTCTTCTAGAATGATCATTTTTATAAAGCTTGTTTATTTAAGTTCAATAATTTCACTTAAATTACAATTAATAGGTCATTTTCATAGCCATTTAAGTGAAATTACTGAACTTAAATATACAAGCTTGATAAAAATGATCATTCTAGAAGAAAATTTCAGATGGCACTTAGAGGCTTTTGCATCTGAACTCTTCATATATACATTTAAATAAAACCACATTTTTAAATGAGTAGCTTTATATTTTTTAATCGTTTTTAACTCGATTGTGCTGTTTGCAATGCATCATGGGATTGTAGTTCTTTCCCTCACTAAAGCCGTTCGTTCACAGTCTCGTATCTTTGTCTTTTTGTCCCGATTTTTTTGCTTCAAATCAAAGTTTGTAATGTTGTGATTCTCCTCGTATCTGATTGGCTTGATTCATGGCTCATATAACTCTTTAATGAAGACTTCCCTATGAGAGAAATGAATGGATAAAACACTTCTGGACATGGACTAATGCACTCTATAGTAAACTATTTGTAACTCAGCGATAAACATAAATTGATCACGGCAAGATTATAAACAGCCTATGGATGATTTTAGCATCATAAAAACACATTTTCTAAACTCTCTCTCTCTATATAGCCTGTTTTTAAAACATTTTATATAGGCTATACAAGCATTCATTTACCATTAGCTCGAGTGTGTGATGCTAAATAGTTCTACTTACATGATCCTGCTGCACTTTTGTGTGGGAAATCGGATTATATGGGAGTGACTGATGCCGAGGCTGGACCGGAGAAACAGATCTATCAACATATACAGTAAAACATAATTAGACATCACTGTAACGAGAACTACACGCCCAAAACACCTCAAACACACACACACACACACACACACACGGCGAATAAAGCTTAGATTAGATTAGGCTACACTTAGAAATAAGAACTATGAAGTCTGCACATGATCAGATGACAGGTTTACTTGTCCTGACTGGTCTACTCTACACATCAGGTCTGAGATGAGACATGAGGAATGATGTTAGACGCTTCACTCACACGGCCGCGCGCGCAGGTCCGGCTCTTCTCGTCAGTCCGGTTTACTGCAACAGAACCACAAACTTAGACCAGAACAAGACACACAAACACTGATTCTCTCTCTCTCTCTCTCTGTGTGTGTCTCAGCCGGTCTCTAACCCACTACACCACCTCTCTCTCTCACTGTGTGTGTGTCAGTCGGTCTCTAACCCACTACACCACCTCTCTCTCTCTCTCTTTCACTGTGTGTGTGTGTGTCAGTCGGTCTCTAACCCACTACACCACCTCTCTCTCTCACTGTGTGTGTGTCAGTCGGTCTCTAACCCACTACACCACCTCTCTCTCTCTCTCTTTCACTGTGTGTGTGTGTGTGTGTGTGTGTCAGTCGGTCTCTAACCCACTACACCACCACCACCTCTCAATTCAATTCTCTCTCTCTCTCTCTCCGTGTGTGTGTGTGTGTCAGCCGGTCTCTAACCCACTACACCACCACCACCTCTCTCTCTCTCTCTCTCTCTCTCTCTCTCTCTCTCTCTCTCTCTCTCTCTCTCTCTCTCTCTCTCTCTCTCTCTCTCTCTCTCTCACTGTGTGTGTGTGTGTGTGTGTGTGTGTGTGTCAGCCGGTCTCTAACCCACTACACCACCTCTCTCTCTCTCTCTCTCTCTCTCTCTCTCACTGTGTGTGTGTGTGTGTGTGTGTGTGTCAGCTGGTCTCTAACCCACTACACCACCTCTCTCTCTCTCTCTCTCTCTCTCTCTCTCTCTCTCTCTCGGATGATTTAACGGGTCCCTCTGCGCGTCACCGTAAATCGTTAAGGCAAACCGGCGGGACTCTCATCCAATCAGCGCGCTGCGCTCGAGCGCGCTCTCACATCCATCTCACCTGGAGTGACGAGCGCTCGCTCAGGTGTGATGAACGCGCGCCACGAAATGTTTTCGCCTTTTCAAGTTATTGGTTTGAGACCAGACTTGTTTATTCTTGTTAAAGGTTATTAAACCAATAGATTTTCAGTTGACTGTTGCACAAAAGGACAGTATGTTACACTGAATCAAAAGTGTCCTGCCCTTTCCTGAAGTACTTATTTTTAGTAACTATTTATTTAAAAAATGTAGGCTATCTATAAATGTCTTTGAATATCAAACGTATTTGCATGTGGTGTGTATGCTATATATATATATTTAAAAAATATATATTTATATACAATAAACATCATATTTTTAATGTATATTCAATACCTCATACATGTAAATAATAAATGCTTTTATATTTATATATATATATATATATATATATAATGTAATATATCTATACATGTAAATAATAATACACATATATTTTTATGTATTATAAATTGTGGCATATTTATACGGTGTATATATATACACACACACATATATATACACACACACATGCAGCCTAGAAAATAAATATATTTATATATTTTTATTTGCATAATGTGTCATATTTTTTATACAGTATATATATATGTGTATGTATATTAATCAAAAAGCCTTCTGTCAGAGATGTTGTTCGCACAAATTGTGTTGCAATAAAAAATAAATATATATATAGGCTATTTTTTTATCATCGTGCACTTTGCTGTCGTTCTCATCATCTCACTGAATAATCAGCATATTCATATACACAGCAACATTTACAAACTTCTTCAGAGAAGGGCATGGGATTACTGTAGTACCAAACGCTGGCGGTACTATTTAGACACTTTTCTGTCAGTGAGACACACACACACACACACACACACACACTGGAGAGAGAGAGAGAGGAAGTGTTCAGATCACCGCAGGTGAACACACACTCACCAGTCAATAAAGCTTGAGGAATGAGAGAATAAACACACAAACCGGCTCGCGCATTCTCGTTCTCGTGCTCTTCTGCTGTTTGTGTCCTTTTAAACGCGTTGTTTCTGACGCTTCAGCGCGCGACGAACGCTTCCGTGTTTCTCCATGTGAACGGAAACAAGCGCGTCGATCTACCGCGGCATAAGATCGTTCCGATCCAGGCTCCTCCTACGGAAATCCCCCGCGTTTACACAAGTCGCGCCAAACACTCGCCGCGCAACGCGACGCAACTAGAAGAGAAGAGCTGCCCCAAAAATCACTGAAGCGCTCCACGCCGCGCGCACGCGCCTCAGTGCACGTGCTAATGTTGCACAAAACTGAAGAGCAGCATCTCATTAGCTCAGCTCATAGATAACTTTTCATAAATATATAATATATTTAAAATGTTAGATGGTATCGTTTTTATTTATTTATTAGCCTAATTATTATTATTAATTTAATAAAATATACTGAAATATACTAATTTATATTTATTTACGTATTTGTTTATTATTATTATTACTACTATTTTTGGTGTTTCATGATCTGCATAGGCTTAATGAATATTTAGTCTACCGTGTTTGTTTATTATTATTATTACTACTATTTTTGGTGTTTCATGATCTGCATTTGGATAGTTGCGTTTAATTACTATAAAAGTAAGTTTATTCAAAGTAAACCTATACATTAATGTGAAAAGTACGTGTTTTACATCTAAAAATCTGTACTTTGACGGGGAGTTCTTGTGGATGTAATTGATAATGTTATGAATTTACCAAAGAATACTGTGTAAAAACAGAAGACTTCTTTAATTGTATAATTGTAAGGTATTCCTGCAATAATTTCCAGTTTATATGCAGATTTATTCATTTGTTTAATGTTCTACAGACATTTTTTTAATGAGATTTTCTTTTCATTCTACAGCAGTGGAACTGTAAAAATACAGAAAATGTTTACAGTAAATATCTGTATTTTAAAAAACAGAATTATTCCGTAGAATAACTTAAGGTTTTTTACTGTAATTTGACGGTAAGTGTTTGGCAACTTTGCTGCCAGACTTTTTACCGTTTTTTACGATTGTTTTTTTACATGTATTTACCTTAAATTTAAGGTTTCACAGTAAAAAAACACATAGTTGTCTTAATTTTAAATAAGCGATTTTTTTTGTCTTTTTACATAGAATTTAATGTAATTTAACATTCAAGCCAATTAAACAAAAGAATAATCCTGTAAAAAAACTATAATTTCTCCTTATATGAATTTACAGATTATTACTTTTATTTTATGGTTAATGTTTTTAATAAAAGTTTTTTTCTGTATTTTAATGACATTTACACGTAATGTTAAAAAAACAGAAAATATGTGTAAAATAATACAGTATATTTCTGTGAAAAAACTTTTTTTTTTACAGTGTAGGCTTAATGAATATTTAGTCTACCGTGTTTGTTTATTATTATTATTACTTTTTTGCTGTTTGAGGGTCTGTATAATGACTATTTTGTGTATAATTTTTGTTTATTAGTATTACTTTTTTTCTATTTGAGGATATGTATAATGAATATATCATGTATCATTTTTATTTATAATTATTATTATCCCACTTTTTTTGCTATTTGAGGATATGTATAATGAATATTTCATGTATCATTTTTATTTATAATTATTATTATCCCACTTTTTTTTGCTATTTGTGGATCTGTATAATGAGTATTTCATGTATAATTTTTATTTATAATTATTATTATCCCACTTTTTTTGCTATTTGAGGATATGTATAATAAATATTTCATGTATAATATTTATTTATAATTATTATTATCCCACTTTTTTGCTGTTTGAGGATATGTATAATTCTATAATAATCTGTAAAAAAAAAGGAATGTTATGTGTTCATTAGTAAATCTACTCAATATGGATTTGCATCTGGTTTTACTAAAGGTTCCATTGAGAAAGTAGTCTCTATTCTATTCTATTCTATTCTATTTTATTTTATTTTATTTTATTTTATTTTATTCTATTCTATATATTCACTCCAGTATATGCAGCTCATTCATCTCAGACTGTTGTTTGTTTTGAAATGGCTGTCGTAGCATATTCATCATGTGTGTGTGAAATCTTTGAGGTTTGCTCAGAGTGTGTGTGTGTGTGTCAGATGTGTGATTTAGAAGTGTGTGGTTGTGTATGTGTGAATGAGAGAGTCCTGTGCTACACTAGTTGTAATGTTTGTGCACGTGATTTACAGTTATGGATCTGCATCACATTTGTAAATCAAGCGCGGTCCGGTTTGTTTTATGGATATGAACATCCACTTGCTCCCTGACTCATGCGTTTCCCTGTGGCTGCTGGGAACTTTAATTAACACTGTTTATGAGTGTTTATGTGCTGGAGAATATTCAGACTGTTGCTTTCTTTACTGTACTTTCATTGGAAATAAACGGCACAGCGATTCCTGGATCTGATCTGACACATTCAGCCACGGCTGCACATCTGCATCATCTGTGTTTCTGCTTTCTGTGTGGATCGTATTGTTATGATATTTTATTTTAATTTATGCATTTGGCAAGCGTTCTTAAAGCACTAACACAAAGTATGCATTCTATTCTATTCCATTCTATTCTATTCCATTCTATTCTATTCCATTCCATTCTATTACCATTTTATTCTATTCTATTCCATTCTATTCCATTTCATTCTATTATATTTAGTGCTGTCAAATCGATTAATCGCATCTAACAACAAAGTTTGTTTATATAATATATGTATATATATTGTTTCTATTCCATTCTATTCAATTCCATTTCATTCTATTATATTTAGTGCTGTCAAATCGATTAATCGCATCTAACAACAAAATTTGTTTATATAATATATGTATATATATATATTTTCTATTCCATTCTATTCAATTCTATTTCATTCTATTCTATTCAATTCTATTTCATTCTATTATATTTAGTGCTGTCAAATCGATTAATCGCATCTAACAACAAAGTTTGTTTATATAATATATGTATATATTTTTTTCTATTCCATTCTATTATATTCTATTTCAATCTATTCAATTCCATTCCATTCTATTATATGTAGTGCTGTCAAGTCGATTAATCGCATCTAACAACAAAGTTTGTTTATATATATATTCTATTCCATTCTATTATATTTCATTCTATTCTATTCAATTCCATTCTATTATATTTAGTGCTGTCAAATCGATTAATCGCATCTAACAACAAAGTTTGTTTATATAATATATGTATATATTTTTTTCTATTCCATTCTATTATATTATATTCAATTCCAGTCCATTCTATATTTAGTGCTGTCAAATCGATTGATCGCATCTAACAACAAAGTGTGTTAATATGATTTGTGTGTATATATATATATATATATATTATATTTATTCTGTTGCATTCTATTATATTCTATTTCATTCAATTCTATTATTTTATATTTAGTGTATATTATATCCCATAATATAATATTTGTGTGTGATTGTGTATATCTATACATAAACACATAAACACACACACACACACACACACACACACACAAACTCACACACACTCACACACACACACACACACACACACACACACACACACACACACACACACACACACATACACACGTGTGTGTGTTCACAAACACACAGACATATATTATCTGAAAAAACATTATTTTAGGTTAGATGTGAATAATCGATTTGACAGCACTATTCCATTCCATTCCATCCTATACTATTCTACAGTCTGTTCCTGGTTTAGTTCACTGTCTGCTGTGTTGTTTGTTTTGTTTGGTTGTGTAATTCTACCATCTACCGGCTGATGTGAGTATCCCACATAAACCCGACTGATGTGTGACAGCTGATCCTCGCGCGCCCCCTGCTGTGCACGCGCGCGCTGCGTCAGCACTATATCTGCTGCGCGGGCACATTCACAGGCACTTTTACCTCGCTGTTAATCCTTTTAACGCGCAAAACCCTGACGAGTTATAAACCATATGCGAGAGGGTGACCTTGCTCATCCTCAGACTGATGTGACGGGATTTTTGTTTATAGAATTGGCCAACGTGCATGTGAACGCGCCTCGCGGGCGCACGCTTCACTGCGGCATCACTGCGCCGTCAGGAGATCACCAGCAGAGGGCGCCGGTTAATAGCATAAAATAGCCTATAAATCAGATAAAATTAGTTACGAGTAATGCACAATAAAAAAAAATCTAGTGTTACCAAATATTTTTCGCATAAACAACAATTTATAATACATAACAGAAGGGTTATAGCAGGTAGAAAATGTCATCTCTAGCACATGCACACTAGATGTACATTTGCTTCAAATAAACTCAGGTGAGACACACACACAGGTGATGCACGAGTCTCTCTCTCTCCAGGAATCCTCGAGGGAAGATTTGCTTTTAGTGGTTCATGCAAACATCTGTCATTAGCTCTGAGCTTTCAGAATAGACTAATTTTAGCTCTATGTGAGAGGATTTATTTTGCATTTCAAGCATCGTCAAGTCGAACACATCAGCCTTTAAACCCTGTGGTGTTGAAGAGAAGAAAGCCTCTCCGTAAATCTGCTTTTATAATGATTTCTCCTTCAGGATGTGAGGCTGATTAGTCACACTGTTACGACACTGATTTCAGCATCATTTCTGGAAACTCAAACCAACTCGAATAACCTATAAACTCCAGGCTCATTTCTAGCCCAAACACTGGGATTTTAAGTTAACTAAAAGTATAGTTTTGTAATACTCAACCAAAGTATTATACAAATATAGTCTATTTTAACTGTTTTTTTTTATTTTTTTCAATTGTGGAAGTGAAATATATGAATTGCCTTGAAACATAAGTAGTTTAAGTACACTACCAGTAAAAGGATAGATTGTAATAGATAGATGGATGGATGGATAGATGGATAGATAGATAGATAGATAGATAGATAGATAGATAGATAGATAGATAGATAGATAGATAGATAGATAGATAGATAGATAGATAGATAGATAGATAGATAGATAGATAGATAGATAGATAGATAGATAGATAGATAGATTGATAGATAGATAGATAGATAGATAGATAGATAGATAGATAGATAGACGGATAGATGGATGGATGAATGGATGGATAGATAGACGGATAGATAGATGGATGGATGGATAGATAGATAGATGGAT